AAGTTTTTGCGTGGGTGAAAGCCACAACTTCTGTCACTGAAATGTATGAATGGCTGCTGCATCAACAACTAGTGGAACCCTGTGTTTCCTTTTCAACAGCACAGGCCAGTTGTGGTTTTGTGCTGTTTTATTTCCACATTTTTCCGCTGTAGTTTTGGCTGTAGTGCAGCAGGATATTTTTAATCACAATTTTTCTTATTTTTAAGTAAATGCATAACAGTATTTATTAAGCCCTGAGTGAGAGTTAAAATGTCACATTTTCTCCTATGCTGAATGATTAGGAAAAATTGACTGCAATATTGGGCTAAAGTGTGTTTATGGACCGGGCAGACATTACGTTACAATCTTATACCATCCTGTTTTATTAGTCTGGACCAAATTTTAACGTAATGGAAGTTATATTAACGTTACAAGCCCAAATACTGTCGCAACAAGTGTGGGCGGGCGGGCATGTTTACAGAAGTACCAAAGCATATGGCGACACAAGCAGCCATGTGTAGTCTGTAATGCAACAGTTATAATGGAAAACAACTTTAAACTTATTTAGCACGTAACTTGGCTAATGAGTTACACCGTGGCTTCGTATCTGCGTGCTCACACAGCACAGCTTTCATGTTAAGATGTTTGCTAGTGGACAGACGTTAAGGCTGTGTGTGACATGACCGTTAACTTGTAGCCGCAGTTAGGTTACCCAACTGCTCCTTTTAACGGTTAGCTTAAAGTTAACGTTAGCATAAAAGGCCCCCTGGGAGACGAAAACGGGACATGAGCAGCAGCGTTGGTGGCGGGGAGCAGCTAGCAACAACATTCATATTTAGTTAGCAGAGAAGGGTAATGAGGTGTCTGTCTACGCGATGACTCACCCGAAAGAAATTTGCAACTGTCTACAGTTTGCTAGCTGTGTGTGGATGCTGGGCAACGCTAGCTAACACGACCGAGCTAAGCTAACTCATGGTAGCTAACGCTAACTACTGTTAGGCCTCGCAGGTAAACAAGTGGTGGCAGCAGGCAGCCAGAGGGACTGCAATAAAAAGCAAACCTTAAGATGGAAGAAAAGAAACATAACATGAGGTGCTTACCCTCGCAGGCCAGTGTGGATACCCCTTCATTTTAGCAAACACAAGATCACCAGGTTTGTATTCTCTTTGCCTGTTGGACCTCGGCATGTTTCTGGCAGAAATGGTTTGCTGTGTCAGATAATGAATTAAAACACAGTGGTAGTTTTAATGTGGCACAGTGTCCGGATTGGTCAACACCTGCTGCAAACAAGCCAAGCGTCGGTTTGTCATCCAAATTAACCAGGCGCGGAAAACTGGAGCGAAGACGCGGCGAGCGACTTTTTTTCCGCGGAATCTGGGGACTGTAACCACGGCTGCTGGGAACGACACTGTCCAAATTTATCTTTGAGTTACGTTACAAATTCTGCCGCTAAACGCTCTAACTAGTTGGTTGTAGCCTTATGCCACAATCCACTGGCTGGCTCGTCCCTCGGACTGTTTGGGTTTGAAATTGAAACCCGCTTCCCACTTCGCAGACGCGCCCCCAGTAACGTTACCTGATGAAGCTGCGGTTATCGCCCCTGGCGGCCAAAGCCTCGCACTGCAGGCTCATCTCATGTAAAACAAACAAACAAACAAACAAAAAACATTTGAGATAGAAATTGATGGTATCAATATTTTTATTCTTTTAACGTTAACCTTAAATCTGCTTAAAATGAGTGGACTAAATTAATCTACATGACCGGATTAATCCGCACAGAGGCCCAAAGCAAAAAACAGTTTTTCTGTGATAATACTTCCACGGCATCGTTGTGTTGTGTGATAATTTGATTAAACACATACATTTCTAATAATAATAATAGTATAATAAACTTCATTCATATAGCATTTTCAAAAACAAGTTTACAAAGTCCTTTACAGAGATGTTAATATAAAATACGCACTGCAATTACAGATTGAAATATCAGACAATAAGAGACAAAAAAGGACATTTGAGAATAAGCAAATGAATAATAATAAATAATAAAAAAGAACTATAATTTTTTTTAAAAAAAGAGGACGGTGAGGTGGCTTGTCTGATGAATGAAAACATAAACACCAAACTGAGATAATGAAGTTATCAAATTTTGACACAAAGAGCCTCTTAAAGATAGAGCCTCAGTGTCAGTTACAAAGGGCCCTTCATGTTTTATCATGTCAGCTAATATTATGTGTTAGTGGTGCATTTTTTCAATGAAATTAGGATAAGCCTGCTGCTAGCTCAGCCTGTCTCCCAGTTACACCTACATAAGCTAAGGTTGTCATTGCCACAGATATTAATTATCATCCATGTTACAAGGCATCTTATATCCTAATTTTCATCTATCTGAAATTAGCCATACATATGTGGACACCTCAATCCAAAACCACAGGCATTAACATATTGCTTTGACAGCCTCCACTTCTCTGTTTTTGGGACAAGACTTTGTGGGACTTGGCTGTAAGGGTTGGTTGGCCACTGAGTTTGGGTGATAAAGCCTGGCTTGCAGTTTCTGGTCCAATTCATCCCAAAGGTGTTTGGTGGGTTGAGTTCTGGGCTCCACACCAAACACAAAACGTTTCTTTACAGACTTTGATTTGTGTACTGAGGGCATTAATATGTTGAAACAGTAGAGTTCCCTCAAAGATGTAAGTGCATCTTGTCCTAAATAGTAATGTCTGCTGTAGCAGGAAGATTTTTCTGGGCTAGCCATGGTTGTCCTAATCCACTAGATGGCCCCAAGGCAAAAATTAGTTGTGGACCTCTATTAGGTCTCAGAGTTTTCCCCAGCAGAGTGCACCTGGAGTGTTTGTGACCCCCTGAGGGTCTGAGGCATACTTTAGCCCAGTTTGTCCAGTTGGTAAGCTTGCCATTAGGCCTAGCCCAAACCATAGAAAACAGCCCAAGACCAAAAAAAATGACAAAAGGGGTGTCAACATGTTTTTTGGCTGTATGTACAGTCTTGAATGTTAGTGACATATATGGATGGGAAATTAAGACAATAAGGAAATATGAGCTTGTTATATTTTCTTGCTTTACATCCAAATAAGGTAATGACTTAAACAGGCACTGTGTTATTTCTCTTTGTTTTTCTGAAGATATTGTAATCAAGCTTTGCACCTTCATTTTATCTTGTAATGCTTAAATTGCTGTTGCAGTTGCAGAAAATTAGGGTGGATCACCAACAGGGGTGTAGCCAGAATTTAAAAAATCTTGTTCCCCTAAGACCCCCCACCCACTCCACCACCACCACCATCCATCCATTTTCTAGCTGCTTATCCTCTAGGGTCGCGGGGGGCTGGAGCCTATCCCTGCTGACGTTGGGCGAGAGGTGGGGTACACCCTGGACAGGTCCCCAGACTATCGCAGGGCTGACACATAGAGACAGACAACCATTCACACTCACGGACAATTTAGAGTCACCAATTAACCTATCCCCAATCAAGAATGTCTTTGGACTGTGGGAGGAAGCCGGAGTACCCGGAGAAAACCCACGCTGACACAGGGAGAACATGCAAACTTCGCACGGAAGGGCTCCCACACCCGGGATCGTACCAGGAACCCTCTTGCTGTGAGGCGACAGTGCTAACCACCACATCACCGAATACTGAAGTCTTTATTAAAGGAATTCTTCACCCAGAAAATGACCATTTGTATATCAATCAGTCATGCTGTTTTACTTTGAATCTGTGAAGAAAACTTTTCCTTGCATGCCTCCACGGAAAACAGTGAACATTTATTCACTGACTGGGGACCACCTTCAACAGCAGAACAACTATATCAAAACATCTGTTTACAGACTTTCACACAACTCACGCAGTATAATCCAAGTCTCCTTTGTCCATTTACACTGCACAGCTTGTGTTTGTAAAGGGATGTTTTGATATAGTTTTGCTGTTGTTAAATGCAGTCCCCAATCAATCAGTAAATTAATATGTTGACAATTTTTCGTGTAGACATGCGAGAAAAATGAAGTTTTGTTCACAAATGCAAGGTAACATGGCACGACTAACTGATACACAACTGGTCATTTTGTGGGTCAAGTATTCTTTTAATCTATGATTTCTTTGGCCTAAAAGTTGTCAAATTTAGTCTAAAAATACTGGAATCGGATCATCATGTGTAAGTTTTTAATTGCGGAATGTAAACTCAACTCTGTTCAAACCTGAAAAGTCAGTGTAACAATGGCTCATGTATTTTGTTTTATTTTGTCATAGATTGATGTCGATACACACTCTGTCTGCTGGGGGCGTGAATGCCTTGAAGTTGTTTCCCAACTGATAACAAACTGTAGAGATCTCCTTCCTTTGGGTTCCTGCCCACGTGGGGTGTAAGGAAAGGAAAAAGCAGACATACTGGCTAAACAATCATTAAAACAACAGTTAATTGACATGCAAGTGCCACTAAGTATAGCAGAGGTTAAAACCATAATAAAGGACTGTATGCACAAAACCTGGCAGGAACACTGGGACTTGGGCGACACAGGAAGACATCTTCACAGTATTCAGAAACATGTAGGTGTTGGCAGATTACAGTGGGAGCCCAAGGAAAGACATGATCATTACCTGTCTGAGGATAGGACACACAGGATTAAATGACACCCTCTATGGAATAGGGAAGCACCCTACTGGACTATGTGCACACTGTAACAAGCTGGAAACAGTCAAACATGTACTAATGGATTGCAGCAGTAAAGAAGAAAGAAGGCAGTTAATAACATGACTAACTGAGGGAAAGTGCAGTATTACATTGGGGAGCATCAAGGAGCATGTGTAAGCTTCTATTTGATTATTTAAGAAAAAAGGGAATAATAGAGAGAATTTATTTATGTATTTATTTGTTTGTTTGTTTCCTGCCCATCGACTGCTACACACTCCAGTCCAGTAGGTGGCAGTAATGCGCTTGAACGCTTGTTTTCCAACCGTCATTAAACTCAAGGAAGAAGAACAACAACCGAAAAACAAACCGAAGAAGAAGAAAAAAGCTGCGCAAAAAGCTGCGCAGTTGCCGTTTCTTCAATCATAAATGATCGAGGCGAATGTTTTGATGGAGTCTATGGATTAAAAAGCTCATTTTCTGTGATGTAAATCACAAGTGCTGCAACGAACAGTGTCGTTTTATGTGCTGCAACAGATCTGAAACGAATTGAGTTCGTTTACGCCAGAAACGGTCAGTTAATTAATATCGTAGGCTGCGGCGGCCTAGCTAACGTTAGTTAGCGCTGCGAAGTTGGGACAGTCCTTTGATTTAATAAGCTCACTGAAAAGCTCTTTTTAGTCTTTGTGGCTATAATCATCAAAGATTATCGTACCTTTAATTGAAGTAAACTCGTCTGAAAGTGAGAACGGCTTCTCGACACCAAATCAAAGGGAAGTGGTTATCCATGTCCACGAGTTCCTTCAGATTAATAATCTTCAGTAACATCAGCAAACATGTCTTTAGTCGCTTATGGCAGCAGTGATGAGAGTGACTCAGAGGACACCTCAACTTCTTCCGCACCGGAGAGCAAAGCCAGCATAGGTGGGCTCTTCTCACTCCTTCCTGCACCTAAAAAGCCAGGATCGGTCGGAGGAATCGGTGAACCAAGAAAGGAGACAAAAACGATCCATTCAGCAGGAGACAGCACGTCAAACGATGACCTGGATCCTCAGCCATCTAAAGGAGGCTTACTGTCCAGTCTACCTAAACCGAAGAAGAGGACAGAGCCTGTCAAGATCACCGTACCACAGATCCTGAAACGGGATGTGAGTTCCCTTTTAACGTATTGTCTCTCCTATGGTATGTAACCAAGTTGTGATTGATAATCTATGTATTTCTTGTCCACAGTCAGACTCTGATGATGATGATGAACCAGCAAAGAAAAAACTACAACCTCAGGTATGAATATCTCACTGTGTGCAGTTACATTCACAGTTATCTGAATTGTTTATTACCTCAAATACTTTTATTCAAGAATATTTAAACAACACTCAGACCTGTTTTAAATGAATTACCACAGAAACCGTCATATACGACCTTCTGATTATCACATTATGGGGTAATGTACTAGTGATGAAAAGCTTATCTGTGTCCCAAAACCCCCCACTGGAGTTAAACTACTGTAGCATCTAGAGTGTTTTGCATTTAAACTCTCTAGTTATTGACAGAGCTGTTTACAGTACACATGCCATCTTAGATTTAACTCTGCCACCTCCCTCATTTGTGTCTCTTTTGATGTTCTTCTAAACATTTCCACTCCTTCCGTACGGCTAAAAATACGTCAATATGGAAATCAATGACACATAAGTATTATTTTATCCTTCTGCTTCATAAACAGACAATATAAAATGTCAGGGATGTAGCTGTTTCCATTCATATTGCTTGCTTCTTCCAGGGTTCAGGCCTGTCCTCCCTTCTTCCCCAACCCAAAAACCTGACAGTAAAAGAGATGGATAGACCCCTGATTCCTCACACACTCACCAAGCGCCAAGAACCCAAAGGACCCAAGCCTGGAGCCCCAGGTCAAGGTCTGCTTGGTTCTAGTGCATCTCCCTCTGCTATCAAAGCTGCAGCAAAGTCCGCCGCCCTGCAGCTAGCTAGACAAATAGCCACTGATGACCAGGACAACGAAGAGGACATAACCCCACAGAACTACTTTTCTCTGGGCGAGAGCTCCCAGCCTCTCTCTGCGGTCGTCCCAAGCTTAGACCCTGAGCCAGGAGCCCCCGCAGAGCCTCTTCCTCTTGCACCTGCAGATGAGCCAGGTCAGTCAGATGCTCCTCTCGACTTTGGGGGGAACAGTGAGGGAGCTGGTCCATGGGGAGGTCAATACCCGCAGTATCAGCAGCCCATGCCAGGCCCAGAAGCTCTCCCTCAGGTAATCATGACTACTTCATGTACATGTAAGCAGGATGGCTTTAGATTCTGAATATTCTGACTGTGTTTAAATTTACTTGAGGCATTAGTGTTTAAAAATGAGCTAACAAAGGTCAATCCAATTCAAAAACAGTCCTCTTGTAAATCCTGAATTACTCGAGTTCGTCAGATCTGACTGCAATCATGGAAACCTGTATGCAGTGACATCCTCGTTTTGCCATTCAAAAACATTAACCATGCAGAGTATCCATTAGTTGAGTGCACAGAAGAGCTGTCGGCATCCCAAGTACGCTCACTGCTTGAACTGCAGCAGTTGAGAGAAAGCAAGAGGCCTCCCTGTACAAACTAAAAAAATGAGAGCAGTCTAATAACTGACTGTAGACAGTAAAAAGATATAAACCAGCAAAAGAGAACATCACTTCAAGCGACATCCCAAACATTTTCTCTGTTGACAGGGGTATTATAATGAGCCATACTACCAAGATCCTGACGCGGGATTGGCAGAGGCTGAAGAGCCCGGCAACTCTGCTATGTTTGATGACGAAGCGGTAAGAAGTTTGCTGCTTCTTCTATCTGTATAACTCCATACTTTTTCAAGAGGGTTAATAATTAATTTTGCAGCTGCATCAAGCCAAGTTTAAAACAAAGTTCAGTTGACATGAGCATTTTCTTCCTGTGATTCAGTTTATGCGGCTGCAAGGGAAACGGAACAGGGGCAAAGAGGAGGTCAAGTTTCTGGAGATCAAAGGGGACGACCAGCTGAGCGGCAACCAGCAGTGGATGACCAAGAGCATAACAGAAGAGAAGCAGACCCGTCAGTCCTTCAGCAAGGTGACCTGACTAGATCTCTATCACCGGGGGCATCTTGCATTGGTGGCCCAGAACTGACAGGGTTGGGTGTAAAGTTGTGCTAAGGTTTATGCTCAGATTTTTTTTGTGTGGCTTTTGGAATGTGGTTGGATGTTGTGTGCTTTCACACACTGTTGATGATTCTCCGGTGAGACTGGCAACACCTAAAGCCCTCGAGCCATTAAAAATGTTTGATGTGGTTGAAACTAAAAACACTTCATGGCCTGATTCAACAGACAGGTTTCTTAATTCTCTAACGAGAACATTCAAAAGGAAGATTGTGGCTTTGTGATATGACTCATGAGGGTTATACCAAACAACAACATGCAGATGGGCTTCATACTTACAGGGATGTTACAAAGATAATATTGTGGAACATGTCCTGATTGCTCTCAAGAGTCAGTTTTGCAAAGAAACAACACGTTCACTACAGCACATTTAAATTAATGTAACATCTACCTTTTTATGTCTGCAGAAAAAAGGAGAGCAGCCTACAGGACAACAGCGACGCAAGCATCAGATAACATATCTCATTCATCAGGTGAGTGCTCCTAAAGCCCAAGTTATACTTACCAGATTTGTGGGTTGTAAATTCTATCATATTGTCATGTTTGCTAGGATCTGTGGGGACGTCTGTTGACAGTGATTCAGAGATCAGTTAGATTCATTAATGTAATGAAACACAAACAGAATATATTGCAGCTAACTACTCGACCAGCTTGGCAGAATTCATACATTATTTTGAAGTTAGTTATGAAGGGAATACAGAGCAGGGTGTGAGTCAAGAGTTCTCCAAGAGTCTTGCATTTCCAGTGTGACATGTCTGCACACATTCAGCTCCAATCTGTCGACCACCATGCTTGTTTGGACACGGCAAACATCGAGCATTGTGTTGCCAACTGGTTTATAATCTGCAAGATGGCGAGCCCACACATGGCATTTAAGGAAGCTAAAAATAGTTGCCAAATTTGTCTTTGCTCCTCGTGTAGCTTCTTGTTTAACGTTCAGAGTAATTGGCTCTACTGTCATGTGGAGTGTTTTATTTTTACACACCCCAGATGGTAATGAGAGTAGGGATTAGTGCACAGGAATATTGTTAAGACGGATGTATTCAGAGCTCATATTTGTGTTTGTACTCAGTCAGGCTTTTGGCTTCTCTGAAGATGGGATTTCCCTGTGATAACTCTGGTACTGACCCCATAATTAGACATACATACTGAGTACAGATCTCACCCTGTCCACAAGCGTGTTCAAATTGTAACACTTTAAATTTAATTAAAAAAACACGGTTTGGCCAGTTGACTGCATCCTTTTTCTTCCTGTGGAAAATTTTACTTGCTTTTCTTCTCATGCAGGCAAAGGAACGTGAGTTGGAGCTGAAGAACAGCTGGGCAGACAACAAGCTAACCCGCAGACAGACACAGGCCAAATACGGTTTCTAAATGTCATATTGTGGACTCTTGGTGGCATGTGGAAACCCTGCATCAGAAAGTAGAGTAGAGCTTTCCAGATTTCCCCTCGCAAAGGGAAGACTTGTGTTCGGGAAGAAACTATACACACCTTTATAACAGATTTTTCCCTCCTTCCTGTATTTGTGTTGAATTGCTATTATTCAGTAGTTCTTTTGTTCGACCGTTTCTTACAGTGTCACTGCAGCCACAGCCGTTAAACCTCCTTTCACAGTAATTTACACTTAATACATGCTCTATACCTACAAATAAAAATACAACTGTTTTTAAGGTACCTGTGGCCAGTCAGTGGCAGACGTGTGTAACGTGACCCTCAAGTCGCCATTATAAATGTTTTCCTTTGAAAGTGTGTGCTTCCTGTTCATACAGTGAACGCAGATGTGTGACTCCTTTTTGGTGTGTGGGATAAAGACAGATGACTCTACAAAACAGGTTTGGTTCTCTGGCAAATGTTATTTAAAATGATGCAAATGAGAAATGAACTGGAGTCAGTAGAAAGCTGTGACACGTTACATATTTATTCGCTGAATCAACTTTGTATTAAGAAATAAAGATGTTGGAATACACATGCAGCAGTTGCTCCTAATGACTCATTAAATTAAGGATGTAAAACTTGTCTGTGTTGCTGTTCTTTCATCCCTGTATTTTTTATTTACATCACATTCTTGCATTGAAAACTCAAAGCTTTGAAAGAGCATTTTTTTCTAAATATGTTTTACATAAATGAACTGCCAGAGAACCAAACATGCATTTCCCATCCAGCTGGTTCTTTAACCATCAGGCCAGAGAACCATCTGATTTTGACATGAAACAGGAACCTCAGTTTTACCTGCTGCATCCAACATGCATCTTACAAATTCAGTTGTTTTCTCCTAATTCCCCATGATGAGTCTTTTTAGTAGTGTGCCATTGGCAGTGATGCAACACATTTAGCCAGACAATACTCTAAATGGCAAATGCCTTCATATCAAGTTTATGTTTTACATTAGGTGGTTAAGAAGAGGCTGTAACTGTATTTCTCTGTGCTGCTCCAATTTTCGGAAAACTGTGCTGTAAAAAATAATCTGTGTAAGTGGCTTATCCACTGCCAGATATAGGACTGTTCAGTGCGGTGAAACTAAATCCTGCCACACTCTCCAGCTTAGGAGAATATTGCAAAATTTCTGCTGTCTCTTGGATTAGCACACCTAGCACTGGCCAAACAGCCATCTCTGCAGGACACACCGCAAAAGCCATGGTGACAGACACTCACAATGGCGTGACGTTGACAAATAGCCGACTGTCGGCTTGTGTCAGGGCCTTAAAATTAATCAGACATTCACAGCACTCTTTGGTTAATTACATATCTGTCTCTCGACCTCAGCATGGTTCATGTAGAAATTTACGAAGCGTACAACCCACATGTTGGCATGCTGGGAAAATCTTTTTGTTTACTCTATACTTTTGTCATGCATATTGTGCAGTTTAAAATAATGAATAAATCTTTTCCCTTCATGGCTTCATATCTCTGAATGCAACAGGGTAGTCTGTGGTTATGTCTGGTATCACAATGATGCAGGTGTTACATACCGTAAGATTATGAAATATCAGTTTATCCGACTATAATTTAGAGCTCACATGTAATACACTGCAATTCCCCAAAATGTTAATAATTCAATAATTACGCAGACAACAGTTTTTATGCATGTATAATGTGTATTACAGGTAAACAAGATCCATTTGTAGTTCTATGCACATCTTCATTTGGAGTCCTTTACTCTTTTTTCAGGCTGTCACTTGGTGGTGCTGTTGTGTCTTGACTCGTCTGTGTACTCGCTGCCGTTTCATCTTCAGCAGCAGAGACGCCTGCCGAGTCTGTGGCTTCACTGACTTGACTCACAGAGTCTTTCCCTGCTTCAGCTTCCACTGATGCACCAGAAACTGCCTTCACAGCAGCTTCCTGCTCAGCAGCTGCTTCTGACAGATCTGCGGTCGCCTGTTCCTGCTGCAGCCTCTGTGCTTTCAGCTGCCGCTTATAACTTGCAGATGGGTCCTCATATGGCACCACTGACATGGGAATGCGAACTGTGTCTAATCCATTAACCTGAAAGATAAGAATATGAGAAATAAGCAGTGTGGTCTTTGGCAGAAAAAAAAGCCTTAAAGCTTTCCATCTGTTGTCTACTGATACTCTCTTTCAACTAACTCAAAATCCCTGAGTGCAATCAGTTTTTCACAGTGAGTTTATCATGCAAATTGACATCACAATGACGAGAAAAAAAAACAACAATATATTGTGCAGCCTTAACGTGATGCACTGAAAAAGAATGTCTCTTACCGTAACTTCACACCAGTAGTCACCCGAGTCCTTGACTGACTCGAACGGGAGTGTCAGTGCGTGAGTTGGCACAACAATTCCCAGCTGAGGAAAAGTTTTATTTATTATTCTATGTTCAGCAGAAGCGCTTTCTTAAACAGGGAAATGTAAAAAAAAAAAAAAAAAAAAAGGCAGAGACAAAGACGGCCATACCCTCTTTTGAAAGTGTCTGCAGACGACCTCTTTGGTGACCTGGAATTCATCTGAGGGCACTCTCTGTATCCTCAGCATGGTGCGTTTAAGGAGCTCCACTGTCTGTTTAAAAAAACAACAACAAAAAAAAAAACAGTACAGCTGGTAAGTCTGTTGCTCCTTTCATCTCTTAAAAACTGTGACTTCAGCATTAAACCTAAGTAGCAAAAAATGCTTTTAGATTACTCACCAACAGTCCGGTGCGTGTTTGTTGTCTTTCCTCTGGCTTTCCCTCACGCAGAAGCTGTTGGTAAAAAAGGTGACAATGATTAACAGCTATACATTGCTATAAAATATGAGGGGAAGTAAATGACAGTATTAAGATGAAGTACACACTCTTAACTCCTCTTCAAATATCTTTTTGTTCTCCGGTGATGGATACACTGCGAGACCTTGGGGCAGCAGCTTGTTTCTGCCTATGGACTTTTTCACTAACACAGTGTCCCCTCGCCCACCGAGCTCTGTAGGGACAAAGTTATTTTCATAATATTAAGAGTTTCAGTGGTGCAAAGAAATGATATAAATACATTTCATTTACTTCTTGTGACAACTCTAAAAATCTGAGGTCTGTGTGATGTGTTGAGAGCATTGCAGATACTCACTGGGTACTGTCTGAGTCAGGATGAGCTCCATCTTCTCTTGCGGAGAGTTTTTGGTGTCTTCAACCAACTTGTAGATTCTGTGTCTTCGAGGGTGAAGCCTCGGCGGACTTCCTACTTTAGATAAAGGCACCTGCCACCAGCGCTCCACCACAACTGTGTTCTATGGAAACATCGAGCACAAACTTTTAAGTCTGCTGTTATGTCTTTTTGTTAAATGAACATATTGTATTAGCATTTCAGGAGTCGTCACATAACCATACAGTGACATGAGTTATTTCAATGATAAACCCCCTCCCACCTCACTTATCCGAGGCTGAGGAATTATAATGACAACAATAAAAACAACACATATCAGTTACTAATGAGAATAATGCGTGGGGTATACAATAAAAAAAATTTAAGAGAGTGAAGTGAATATATATGGGTCACTGAGCTGCATAATAAGCTGTTGGGAGATTTTCAATGCTCTGCAAGAATGGAGGATCCAACTGTTATATATAATAACTGTCTCACCCAGGTAGTCACTGTGGGGAAAGGGGGGGTCTGGCTCTTTACGTAATTGATCAGGGGCTGCAAGTTGCTATGAAATTTGTCTGTCGAACCCCTTATGAAAAATCTGATCTTTTCCAAAGACACTGTGTCATGCAGCCATTAATTAGGTGATGGATGCAATGGTTTCTTTCATATTATAAGTGTTCTTCAGCAGGCTAATAAAGCTGCTGTCATGGAGGCTCACTACAGAATACTGTAGAGAGGATGTTATTGACGATGGACCCATATGCTTCTGTGGACCGAGTTCTCTAACTGTTAGTACGCTTCATTTATGTCAGACTTAACGCAAATACAGGTGCAAGAAAAGTGGAGTTTCAGACATACCCACCATGAGATAGCATTTTTTGTTTCGGTCAAATATCAGCAATGAAAATAAAACATTAATGTTGTTTATTGATTCTAATATTGGTTGACACTGACAATATGATGATACGGTGAATCTTTAGATCTAATGCAGGGTGTTGACGAGATTCAACAACTTGTTTTGAAGATAAGCAGAAAATAATCAACAACAAAGTATGATAATTGACTAAGTACGTTTATTTTTATTTAATCAGTTTTACTGATTAATTATATAAATTCATGGAAAAAGATTACAATTTATTCTGGTTATAGGTTCTGAAATGTTAGATCTGGCTTTTGGGTTGTTGTTGTTTTTTCATATCACTTTAATTTGAATGTTTTTTGGTATGATAGTGATGTTCTTACTATTTAATGACATTTTATAGACTAAATCAATTGTATATTTATATAAAGCCAACACATTACTTGATAATGCAAATAACCTGTACTTTCAGACCTAATCACATTAGGTCATTTTTTTTTTTTTTTTAAATATTTACCAAGAGCCGAAAAAGCCTGTTGATATTATGACTGGTCTGTAAAATGTTTTATTGAACATTTAGCCACACAATTTAGCAGACACTTTTTAACAAAATCATAAACAATTACCTGAGAGATTATTTATAATTCAGGTAAAAAGCGAGAACACACTGACCTGAGCAGGACTCAGAGAGAAACTCCTGACAGCCGGCTGGATGAACAGATCCTGAAGGACACGGCGGCCTGAGCTCCACATCTTTATTCAACACTGTAATTCACCACCTTGAAAAAACAGTATCCTAATAAATCACTCAAAGGTTCACTGCTGTCTTTGCTTCGGCACCTCCACCATTAAACGCAATTATTCCTCTATCACCTGTCAGATAACTGCAACATGCATGTCAGCCTGTATGCTAACAGCCAACTGGCGCTGGTTTATGACGTCAAAGGACCCCACCGGTTGAAATAGTAGTCCCGGAAAAATGCCTGACACAAAAGTCGTCACTTTATTACAGCTAACCAACAGTCAGTTACTCGGTTTCAGTCTTTGATATATTCTTATACTATTTTACATTCTTATGAAACCATTAAAACATTAACAATGAGCCAACAACCTCTAAGTATCTTTAATCTTTTTTCTTTCTGTATCTTTGTATTATACTTTTTCCATCTCCATTAGCTAAGGCTATGCAATTAGCGTCTCTGTCTAGCTTCACAAACGTACTAGGCTACATCATAGGATGTACAAATGTAAGCAATATCTAAATGCTATGTTAAAGGTCCCATATCATGCTAATTTTCAGGTTCAACCTTGTATGTTGTGTTTCTACTAGAACATGTTTAAATGTGCATAAAGCACATTATTTTTCATACCGTCTGTGCTGAAACACCTGTATTCACCCTCTGTCTGAAACACTTCGTTTTAGCGGCTGTCCAGTCTGCTCTGATTGGTCAACATTTCTAGAAAACTCAGGCTCTCTCTTCCACGAGTATATACTATTGCATGCAGTATGGACACAATAGGACATACTGCTTCGTCGTAACATTGCACCTTGAACTTTGACCTTCTTGCTCCTATATCTGTCACAGTGTGTAACACGAAATTTGAAGAACTAAGAAAAGTATGCAGTTTGGAATGGTGAACATTACTTTATAGCACGCCACCTGCCGAGCTCGCCATAGATGGAGGTCAACCTGGACAGCCTTGTTGTTGTTACTTTGCAGTGTGTATGTTGTTATAACTTTTAAGTTATAACTGCAAACATTGTAAATTCTAACGTAGTAGTTACATCCTGTTGTATAGAATAGAGTAGAATAGAATAAACTTTATTAATACAATTTTAAAATACAATTAAAATAGTAATTTATTATCTTCATGACTATTTGTTCACTGAAACAATTCCCATTCATATAATTACTAGCTTTTATCTATTCAACTGGTCACCAGTTGGCATGTTACCCCCTTTCACACATAGCTCTGTGCTGCCGGCAGATTATTTTTTGTTTTTTAATATATTTTCATGCAGAAATGCAGCTGCTGGAGCTGTGTTCTGTCTACACGTAAAGCAGCCTTACATTTAATTCAATCTTATTTTTAGTGTAACATAGGCTACTTGCCAATTCTGTTGTGTGACTGTGTATATTTTTGCAAAACTTGATATGATATTTTTGATATCATAAATGCCTTTATCATCCAGGAAGTGCCTACACACTCAGGCCACATGAGGCTGGGCACTGTCCTGCACCAGGAGGAACCCAGGGCCCACTGCACCAGCATAAGGTTTGACAGTCGCTCTGAGGATTTCATCCTTGTACCTATCAGCAGGCAGGGCATCACTGGCTGACATTGAGGTCTGCGCAACCCTCCAAGGATATGCCTTCCCAGACCATCACTGACCCACCGCCAAACCGGTCATGCTGTGCTGGATGATGTTACAGGCAGCATAACGTTCACCACGGCGTCTCCGGAC